GCTTCTCTGTCTCCCAGTACTGCCCTTCGGCGGGTCACGTGACTGCCTCCCGTCACCCGCACTCCCAGCAATCACAAGCGAGAGGTTCCCAGCCGTCTCGCCGTCCAGGACTCCCGCAGTTCCGTCTCCTCCGCTTCACTCTTTGGACCCCCCCTCATCCGTAAGTTCTTAGCCGGGGACCTTAGCAGCTTCCATGGGGAACATCAAGGGAAGGAGGGCGGTTATCCTGCGGAGAGCGCTCACATCGCCCCCTCTCTCACACCGCCATGATTAGGCTCCTCCTCCCTCGAGACTATAGAAGGTCGGTTTATGGTACCTCTTGTGACTGTATGCATCGATGTACTTCCGGGTCTTTTTCCCTTTAAATTGATGCTTCTGATGTTGCACAGTGATCAGTGATCTCCAATCCCAGAGGAGGCCATTTTTGGGGAAACGCATTGGGCGGAGTTCTTGTGTGACGTCATCACACACTGGCGTGCGTTCTAAGACTGCGGCGGGGTTAATGCATTGAATTGTCTGCTGCCTATCTTACTCACCAGTTTGTAAGTGCAATACTTTATAATAAAACAGTTAGTTTTAATATACTACACCATGAGGTTTCTCTTGTTCAGTCCGTCCATGTTATTATGATGAGTGGCATTTGATACCTTATTGAATTTTCGGTGGAACCGCATATCAGTGTAGTGGATGCAGCCAGTTTCTTTTCCGGTGATGGTCTGACTGTGCGAGCGCCAGCCTGGGGTCATGATACATATATGCTCATTGGATCTCTATAATTTGAGATCATGTCTATCCAGTAAGGGGCTTGCTTGTTTCTTTTGAAGAGCACCTGAGCACAGAAGCACTTTAACTGACGTTTTGCAGCACAAAGCACTTTCTTGACCATTTAATTGGGACTTTTTTTATATATTTATTTTTTATATATTTATGTATATGAATTTACAAGTCATTATTGATTATTTTATTGCACGTTATATTGATCAGTTGTTGATTTATTGGAATACTTGGCACTAGTTTATTTGTATATTTAATGGAACAGCGCATTGTAGCATATAGATATATCATCAACCTTAGAGTATATACTATATGCAAAGGTAAAGAGAAGCTTACATAGTGTAAAAGTAGTGTAAAAGTACCCTTTAATAAAACTTTTTTTAAAAATATGCAGCGTCACTTGCAAAGACAAGTGGTCCTTAGCAAGCCATAGATGATGCGATTTCCTTGAAAATCACTCGATTCCCTGAAGCACTATTGGGTTCTGCCGGTGGGGAACCTTCCCTGCCAGCAGAACACAATGATTATTACTGGCGGCTATAGAAAAAAAGCATAACAGTAATTATATATAGCAGTAATTGCATGCAAAAAATCAGACAGGCTGGTTGTACTGAAGTCAATCTATGGATTGACTTCAGTACAAACGGCCTGCCCATAGATGGATCAAATCTCGGCCAGTCCCTGCTGAGATTCGATTCATCTATGGCCGACTTTAAAGTGGTTCTAAAGGCTGAAGGTTTTTAAAAAAATTCCTCCAAAGCAGAAACTCTCAGTTTCACTTATTGAGCTGCTTAAGCAAAAATTTGCTTGAAAAAAAAATGATCTATGAATATATTTCCTTCTTTCATACGTTTTTTTTATTTTTGGGGGGGGGGTAGATTCATTTTTTCAATTTAATGCTGTTTGTATTTCAGTTTTTTTTCTTTTTGTTCTTATTCGTGTTGTTTGTTTGTTATTGATTGTACTTGTTTTAAATTTTTATTATACTTTTTCACAGTTTTTTCTTTCTGTGAAAAAAGTTAAATAATGATATACAATAACATATGCATCATTTTGGCAAACAAAACATGTCCAGGAGATTTAAAAAGCACTTCTGTAAATTTTGGGAGTCATTTAAAGCCCCCACTCCCCCAAAGAATAAAAAGCCTGAATTTAGTCTTCATCTTCATTTTCACCAATGCATTTTGCCAAAATGGTGAAATAACAACTTTCAGTTTAGCTGATCCTTAATCAGAAGGCTTATTTGTCCGCCCAGGGGTGTCAAACTAGTGGTCCTCCAGCTGTTGCAAAACTACAAGTCCCATCATGCCTCTACCTTTAGTAGTCATGCTTGTAACTGTCAATCTTGCAATGCCTCATGGAACTTGTAGTTTGGCAACAGCTGGAGGGCTGACAGTTTGATACCTGTGTGCTTAGCAGTACAAAGTCATGACTTGCCTGAGATTGGTGCTGAGAGATTTGTCAAATCTTCATTTAGAACAAAGTCCCTATATCCAACATAAAAGTTATCAGTTCTTAGTTGCTATTATGACCAATGGGGACAATTCACTAAGGGATATGTCCCCGAGTATGTTGTAAAATAACGCACAATGAAAAAAAACTGTGTAAATCACTAAGAAACCCTACTTAATATATTGCATGCATTATATTTCCGATTCATGTGATAATTACCTGAAACAGTGCCGTAAGTTCTCGTATGCATATCGCATAAACGTCAATTGCACCAAAAGCACATTTGGGATTCCAGCAATCCGATAAAAAAATCATTTTTAATTTGATCACACTCCTCACAAGATTTTCAGAAAGTTAATATATTTGGATGCTATTACATTGAAACTGAGCAATATATTGGTGAGGAGACATGCCTGCGAAATACCCACTAACGCGCCAGCTACGATCTGATAGGGTGTTTTGCCCAAAAATGTAATTCAGCCAACAATTTAGTCATGGCTGGTATGATATGACTTTGCTGGGTTAAGGGCTTAAGTTACCCTATGAGTTCCTTAATTAGTGCCTTGGATAACTGGAACTTCTGGAGGGTATCAGCATCCTTGTCATTATCCAGCAATGTGCTCTCCCTAAGGCTTCTTTCCTTAGGACCAAGGAAGGACCACTTTCGATCTTCTCTTCTTCTGCATTACTCTAAATTCCAGAAGATTGCATTCAAAGGACTCCATCTTCTGTGCTATGCAGTCTATCAGTCTCCAGAGGCAACTCTTGAGTGGAATCTAGCTGCCACCTGATCCAGATTGCACTTTCCTGCCTAATTTTTTAAACCAATCCCTGACCTCCTAAACCAGGTCTGACAATTGCCATACTTATCGCAAGCCTGGACCACTACTTAATTACCACATTTATTTATTTCCTTCTGTGAATTGACTTTAACACCTTTATATGCAGTATTTACTAAGCGTTTTTGCTTTTTGTGGTAAATACTGCATACAAGCAATAGTGAATTGACATTTTCATTATTACATGCGATATGTGGTCACATGACCAACATACAGTGCCTTGAAAAATATTCATACCCCTTGACTTGAAATTTTCCACATTTTGTCATGTTACAACAAAAATGTAAATGTATTTTATCAGGATTTTATATGATAGATCAACACAAAGTGGCACATAATTCTGAAGTGGAAGGAAAATTTGTATTCAGACCCCTTTACCCTGATACCCCTGACTAAAATCTAGTGGAACTAATTTCCTTCAGAAGTCACCTAATTAGTAAATAGAGTCCACCTGTGTGTAATTTAATCTCAGTATAAATACAGCTGTTTTATGAAGCCCTCAGAGGTTTGTTAGAGAATATTAGTGAACAAACAGCATCATGAATGCCAAGTAACACACCAGACAGGTCAGGGATAAATCTGTGGAGAAGTTTAAAGCAGGGTTAGGTTATAAAAAAATATCCCAAGCTTTGAACATTTCACGGAGCACTGTTTAATCCATCATCTGAAAATGGAAACAGTATGGCACAACTGCAAACCTACAAAGACATGGCCGTCCACCTAAACATACAGGCTGGGCAAGGAGAGCATTAATCAAAGAAGCAGCCAAGATGCCCATGATAACTCTGGAGGAGCTGCAGAGATACACAGCGCAGGTGGGAGGATCTATTCACAGGACAACTCTTAGTCGTACACTCCACAAGTCTGGCCTTTATGGAAGAGTGGCAAGAAGAAAGCCATTGTTAAAAGAAAGCCATAAGAAGTCCCGTTTGCAGTTTGCGAGAAGCCATGTGGGGGGACACAGCAAACATGTGAGAAGGTGCTCTGGGCAGATGAGACCAAAATTTAAATTTTTGGCTTAGAAGCAATACACTATGTGTGGTGGAAAACTAACAGTGCACATCACTCTGAACACACCATCCCCACCGAGAAACATGGTGGTGGCAGATTCATGTTGTGGGGATGCTTTTCTTCAGGGACAGGGAAGCTGGTCAGAGTTGATGGGAAGAAGGATGGAGCCAAATACAGGGCAATCTTAGAAGAAAACCTGTTAGAGTCTGCAAAAGACTTGAGACTGGGGCAGAGGTTCACCTTCCAGCAGGACAACAAACCTAAATATACAGCCAGAGCTACAATGGAATGGTTTAGATCAAAGAATATTCATGTGTAAGAATGGCCCAGTCAAAGTCTGGACCTAAATCCAATTGAGAATCTGTGGCAAGACTTGAAAATTTCTGTACACAGACACTCTCCATCCAGTCTGACAGAGCTTGAGCAATTGTGCAAAGAAGAATGGGCAAAAATTTCATGCTGTAGATGTGCAAAGCTGGTAGAGACATCCCCAAAAAGACTTGCAGCTGTAATTGCAGTCAAAGGTGATTCTACAAAGTATTGACTCAGGGGGGCTGAATACAAATGTACGCCACACTTTTCAGATATTTATTTGTAAAAAATTTGAAAATCATTTATCGTTTTCCTTCCACTTCACAATTATGTGCCACTTTGTGTTGGTCTATCACATAAAATGCCAATAAAATACATTTACGTTTTTGGTTGTAACATGACAAAATATGGAAAATTTCAAGGGGTATGAATACTTTTTCAAGGCACTGTAATGCATCCCTTAACCTTTAGTGAATTGTCCCCATTGTCACACTGATTTTGTGCATTTTCATTTGTTATTCTCTAGACATACTGTAGGTATATATCCATATAACCCATAGCATTATTGCTGTATACTGTTGCCTTCAAATGTAACTTGCTGTTTTTTTCCAGCTAGAAGACACTGAAGAGTTTCACAAAAAGATAAATGAGGGACACACTGCTACATGCTCCTGTCTTCATCATTAAGCCTCGTTCTCACACCATCTGGGAGACACAGACTGTAAAGTTTCATTGCACAGTGAGTGGATGGCCAGAGCCACGAGTCACATGGTATGCGCTCTTTAATGGGTGTCCTGATTCTTATCAGTTATGTCTGAAGGCCTAGCTACAGCTTACTCTACCATATGATCAGGTGTTCATGCTAAAATGTTGTTTAAATTGGCATTGATCCTAATTCACAAAAGCATAATGTATGCTGCATTGTCATCACCATGGCTTATTTGCTTGTTATCCTTATGCGTAGTTGATTAAAGATTTTTATTCACTAGAAGTGTCTCAGTGCAGATGAGCTGAATTTACTGTATGCACATTATTTCAATAATTGTTTTGTGGTGCCTTGACTTGAAAGTCAATCCACAAACATTCTATTCTGTGTTTTTCTCTTTAAAGCAGAGTTAGTCCAATGACATCACAGGGAACTCCATCCTTAGTGTTCCCCGGGCACATAATATTGTCCCAAGTGTGGGAAAACAGATAGTACTCAATAAGGAGTTTGAGCAGTGAGGATGGAGGACTATGTTCCTTCATCCTCTGACCTACAAGCACTGGATCGAATGCTGTGGAACATTTTGGGACATCGATGGAATCAGGAAAGGTAGATATTACTTAAAAACAAAACTATAATTAAGTATTTTTAATTGTGTCTTATTGTGGTGGACTGGTTTGCATCTCTCTATAAGAAGTTCACATACACACAAACTGTTCTGAATTAAAATGCACCTACTGCATATACAGTAGAACAGGAGTCTCCATACTTTCTAAACACAGGGCCAGTTTGCTGGCCTTCAGACTTTAGGGAGCCAGACTGTGGCCATTGGGATTGGAAATTGTTTTGGTGTAAGTGGCAGTAAGCAGTGCATCTTTGGTATAAGGGGTAGGAATAGTACCCCATTGTTTGTGCCAGTGGGAGGAATAGTGCCCCATTGTTGGTGTTAGTGGGAGAAATAGTTCCCCATCCTTGGTGTCAGACGGAAGAATAGTGCCCTATTGTTGATGTCAGTGGCAGAAATTAGGTCCCATTGTTGGTGCCAGTAGGTGGAATATCGCCCCACTATTGGTGTCAGTTGGATGAATAATGCCTCATATCAACGGGAGGAATAGTGCCCCAAGGGCCAGATAAAAGCAAGCAAAAGGCCACATATGGTCACCGGGCTGCAGTTTGGAGACCACTGCAGTAAATCACTGCATCGCAGCATATATTGCTAGATAATTGATGAAATTATGATAATTGACCAAGCCTCCAATTCTCTGATTTTATTCTCTCCAACTTATATTTACATGATGCCTTTGTACTGTATAAGATACATTATTATGTGCCCCATTCATTTCTGGCTGTGCCTTTTATACAAGTATAACAACAATGTTCCTATCAATGATCAAGCTTATCCTGATGTCTTTTATACAGGTATAAGAATAATGTCACTATCAATGATCAAGCTTATCCTGATAAATACAAGATTGAAAGTGGTTATGGCCTTCATTCACTGGAGATATACAAGTAAGTAATGAGCACAGCTTAAGCTGCAACTAGATGCACATGTACTGTATGAACATACAAAGAAAAAGAAGGAAAAATCCTGAATACAGTGGGTATCTGTGTTTGTTGCTTATTGTTAGATAATGCAAGTATGCAATGAATGTTCCATACTGTGGTGTTTCCACTGACAGATTACACGCATCACCTGTTTGTCACTCATAGCAAATAAACCTTTATGTCTTCCATACAGCCATTTATGGTAAGAATGCAAAAAAGAGTAAAAAAAAACCCTGTAGACTGAATGGAAAACTCTGTACTGTATGTGTATGGCCAGCTATCACTTAACCTAATCCTAACACTACATGAGCCCCTTCAGCCATATACTTACATTATCTAGTGCCTGACACTTACCGTATCTACAACCTTAAATGTCACCATTGAAATATACCAGTCCTGTGCCAAGATGCAGCTTCTGATTCAAATATGTCATATGCATTGCACTTTCACTTATTTTTTCCTTTCTAACTAATGTTATTTGCATATTGCATTTTTTCCTATGAATTACCTTATGTCGAAGATAATAGATGTTTATTCTTTTGGTGGCTTTTATTATACTTAATACCAAGTAGTAGTACTATATCAAAGAAAACAGGCATTGAACCAGTTGGTGAAGACAAACTGAATGTATTTTTACCTGATATGGTTGATAATGAAGTAGGCATAGAAATGGATTAACAATAGTAATAACACAATCTAGCATTTAGAGTGATTAGTAATATGACCTAGGCATAAGATGACACTTGGGGTTTATTTACTAAAGCTGGAGAGTCCAAAATCAGACTCCCTTCTGCATAGAAACCAATCAGCTTCTAACCTCAGCTTGTTCAATGAAGCTTTGGCAATGAAACCTGGAAGCTGATTGGTTTCTATGCAGAAGGGAGTCTGATTTTGGACTCTCCAGCTTTAGTAAATAAACCCCTTGGTGTCCAGATCAGCATAAACAGTAGCATGGTCACTTAAAGTGCAGAAGTAATAAATAATAAAGCTTTATTTACCAAATATAGGCGCTATACTGCCAAAGTGCATTGATGACAACCAGTGGCGGACTGACAACTCATGGGGACCCCGGTCAATAGGGGATCATGGGGCCCCTGTGTCCTTGCTCAAACTCAAAAAAGCCTATGAAAAAGGTACCAGGGGCATCTCATGGGGCCCCCTACTGACCCCGAGCCCTCGGGCAGTGCCCGAGTTTCCAAATGGTCAGTCCGCCCCTGATGGCAACTATGCTAGGTATAGATTGACTGGCTGTGCACTGTCCATAGAAATGAAGGAAATGGGAGAAGAGAACAAAAGGGACTTGCTGGAGGGGTACTCCCTTTATGCTCTTCTGCCGGCTATCGTTGGAGCCCTTTAAGAAGCATTGGTGCACTTAACGATAGTTTTAATAAACCAGCATGCAATATACTGTAGGTGTGTTAAAAATGCAGTAAAGGTGTGGTAAAGATGCAGTATATTTAATGTCCTGCCTCCAGTAACTCAATCCCTAGCAGTGTGAATAATAAGAAGTCGCCCTCTCACCAGTCCCTGTGGTGTGGGACTGGTGAGAGGGCATTGTATCAAATTACTCTGTTCATGTTGCAAGTGCATTTTTGAGAATGGAAGGTAAAACAAACCTGGTTACTTGACTTCTACAACATTGATAAATTTCCTTTGGCTAGAAAGATGTCAGGTGGCCACTTATAGCACCATGTCTGACAATCTTAATACCCTGTTGAAAATGATCAGTGGTTTGTGGTTCTGTCCCATTAAGATCAATGGCTGTCTTTCTTATGCACAGAGCTTATAATTGAAATGCACAATGTAAAGTGTCAGCATGTCAGCAGATTACATTATAATTGTCACATAGACTGGGAATGTAACGGCATCTGTTACATTTTAAATGCCATGCTTCCAAGTAGTCCAGATAGGGTGTGAAAAGTGTCCTACAGTTTTCACCAATCAGGACAGTGTCTCATTTTTCGTTTATCATTGAACCATTTGTAAAATAATGTAGCCATTTTACTATACATATATTATTCAACATTTTACTTTAAGTTTCTCTGAGATGTTTTCTGTGTATTGTTTTGTTTTGTCACATTATGATTTCTTTCATTCATTAACCACTAACGATGTTAGGTGAGTTCCCATTATATTTGTGGATAAGTAATATCTGTCATGTTACAAATAAATGCAACAGTGATCCTGGACTAAGGCTCCATGTACACGAGCCTACCCTGACTGCCAGCCGCAGGAAAAATTGCAGCAAAAACTCTTGAAAAATGCGGTAATCATGGTACCGTGATTTTGCAGCGGTTTTGCCACGTTTTTAATTTTCCCGCGGTCGGCGGTCAAAACGTTCCTATCCTGAATGCGATTCTTCTACCTTCAGGAGAGGGATGTTTAACCTAACCGCAGCAGCTGCCAAACTCTGCTAAAAGCCTATGTGTACATGGACACATAGCCTTTTATGAAGTTGAGTTTAGGAGCTTTGGCAAAAAAAATGCCAAAAGCTCCTAAATTCAAGTTTATTAGCTGCTGGTGTACATGAGCCCTAACTTATTGGTTCCAGAAGATACTCTTATTGCATATTTAAATATACTGTAATATGTTTATTATATTCTAGAATTGTGCTGTAAATAAATAGAATATTATATGCATTTCTTTATGCAGCAGTGATTTGTCAAGCCTGTTTTATGTTTAAAATTAAAAAAACTAATATTGAGAACAAATATAAAAAAAAAATCAATCTGTCAAGGTTTGAGGCAGAATGATCAGTTTATAGGTTTCTAGTATAAAATGGCATTGCAGTGCTGTAGAATCTAGTATATGAGATGGGGTTGATATAGTAAAGGAGTAGCATAAATGAATTTTCTCTTTTCAAAGGTCATTTTCACTTAGCTTAATGAATGAGGTGAAGTTGTGCTGACCTCAATCATTCAACCGTGTGTGAGCAAAAATCCTTTTTTTAATTATTATTATTTTTATTTATTTTCTCTGAACATCTTTGTGTATTTTTTACATTGTTTCACCTAGTTCACTAACATATGGTAAAAATTCACTCTGCAAAATGAAGATTCATTTTGAAAGTGAGCATGCTCTACTTTTTAAGTAAATCGGGCTCATTGGACTTGTTAAAGCCGGACATCCTTCAAACTATTAATGTAAAAAAAATTAAAATAAATGTTCAGTGCTTCTATAAAAGGTCCTAATCTATGCAGCTGTACTAATTATCAGTGAGATGAAAAGATATATAAACATGCACTGCGATAAAAATGTCACAACCTAAAACTAAGTGCAAATACATTTTTTTCTCTCAAAAGTATGAAATAACTCTATATTAACACGGTACCTTAAATCCACATACCCATATAAAAATGCAAATAGGTGAAAGCTTAAACATAAATCACAATCAAATACGTAAAACATAAAGTGCTTTGTGCAACCAAGATAAAAGTCCATCAAATAGGCTCATCAAATAAGTATTAATCCAGTGTGCTCTATTCCATGATGAAATTATGACACACACATATATATTTAATAATGAAATGACATACAAAGATTTATATATATTACATACAAACATATGTAATATATTGGCGATTTAGCATACTTTTTAAGATTCTTTTTTTTAGATGCACGTTTAAAAAAGAGGGTGACATTTTTAGAGCAATGTCAGAGAAATAGTTCCTTATAACCTATCTTAGTCAGCACAGTAATCATGTTGTAAGTGGTACTTATTACTGATATTAAAAATTGTAATTTAGGCAGGCAGGGTGCTTGCTTCTGTTTATATGGTTATTGCTATGTATGTGCTTGCTATGCGAAAGCATGTAATTGTTATTAATAATATTTTATGCATTTGTATTTTTTGTATGAATATGCTTCTTAGTACAGTGCCATGGGAGTTGATTATCTTATATAAAAAAATAAATATTTAGTCCTTTCTGCCAAATAATCAGGTTTGTTTATGCCAAGTGGAAAATTAAATGCTCACGTAAAATACTTCTAGGTATAGTTAGCAAGCGCAAAGTGTCATGACTGTACTCAGTGTTGGAGAAAATCTGACAAATGTAACTTATATTGGGTAAGTGAAAGGCTAGGACAGGCAATGACATTTAAACTGTGCTTAGTCAAAATTGGCATATATGGGTCACTCTAAAATTAGCTGTAGAGTTTGGGTTTTTAGTTTAAAGCTTCACTTATCCTCTAGCACAGAGGTCTCCAAACTGTGCCCCGTGGGCCCAAATGTGGCCCTTTGCTTGCCTTTATTCAGCCCTTGGGGCACAATTCCTTCCACTTATATGAGGCACTATTCCTCATACTGACACCAAAGACAGAGCACAATTGACTGGCACCAATTGCTATTCCCCACCTGGGCACCAATGACAGGGCACTATTCCTCCCACTGATACCAGATGATGGAGAACTATTCTCACCACTGACACCAATGATGAGGCACTATTCCTTCCACTGATACCAATGATGGGGCACTATTCTTCCCACTGATACCAATGATGAGGCAATATTCTTCTCACTGACACCAATGATGGGGCACTATTCCTCCCACTGACACCAATGATGGGGCACTATTCATCCCACTGACACCAATGATAGGGTACTATTCCTCCCACTGACACCAATGATAGGGCACTATTCCTCCCACTGACACCAATGACTGTGCACTATATCTCCCACCTACACCAGTTATGGAAATTTTTTACTTCAACTGACCACCAAGCCTGTGGCATTGTTTACTCCTATCGATGTTAGGGCATTTTCTACTTTCATTGGCCACAGTCTGGCCCCCCTAAAGTTTGAAGGACAATAAACTGGTCCTTTGTTTTAAAAGTTTGGAGACCCCTGCTTTAGCACATTTGGTACTTTTGGAGCTAGCCACGGTATCAAGAAATATAATGAATACTAATTTAAAGTTAAATAGTTACTGTTCTAGCTTAGTATGTACAAATTGTCACATCTATGGATCTATACTTTAAAGTACAGCAGCAAAACATGCAACCACTGTTCTTGCATACATATGTGGTTGTATACTGTAATATAGTAATTACCTTTTCCATGTATTCATTTTTTTAATTACTAAAGAGAGGTGATCTTGTGTTCATTTCAGTCATCCAAAAATGAATATTTGAAAAAAAAATAGTTTTTTTTCTTCCCATGGTTGGATGTTTTAAGTTCACACAGGTCTGTTTCAACTAATTTTAAACTCTATCGGGTTTAAATTAACAGCACATCCATAGGTAGCTTCTACCCAAAAATCAGTGCCAGTAACACACTGGGGTTGATTTAGTAAAACTGGAGAGTGCAAAATGTGATGCAGCTCTGCATGGTAGCCAATCAGCTTCTAACTTCAACTTTAATTAAGCTTTGACAATAAAACCGGGAAGCTGATTGGTTTCTATGCAGAGCTGCACCAAATTTTGCTCTCTCTAGTTTTAGTAAATCAACCCCATTATACATGATGACAGCTGCCACTGTTTTTACTCCATTTTTTTTTTTTTTTAAAGATACAATATATGTAATTTGCATTATGGCTCCTAAGAGTTAATACAGGACCCTGTTGTGCAACATTAGTAAAATACATAAAATATGAAAATTGCTTGTTTTTTCTGCTAGTAGCAATTTTCATATCTTCCCACAACCCATGAGTCAACTTTTCTTTAATTAGAAAGTGACTGCAGTCACTACTAAATGGATGCCAAATATTTCTGTTTATATAAATCTGTATCAGACCAAGAATATCACATATTTCAATATTGGGAAGTAATTCCAGTATACTGAACAGTCAGCTCTGTAAGTGTCCTTAATTGGTAATATGGTCATGACCCACAGAGATAGGCCATGAGTTTTACCTGTAATATTCCTAAACCATGTGCATGGTAATGTGGCACAGTGGCAGACTACCTCATAACTCTCCAAACTCTAATAAAGTGCCAGGCAAAATATTTTGCCTAAAGTGGAACACCATCTATACCATGTTTCCATTTTTGTGCAGAGCGGGCAGTGGTACTCTTTGTCAGGTTTTTATTGGTGTCTGTATTCCCAATGGGGAGATTTCTCCTCAGTTTCAGTCCAAATTATGCTGGTTATTAGGACAAGGAGTGGTGTGGATATCATTGACAGTTGTCACTGGAGCAGTGAGGAGAAAACTTCCAATACGGACACCTGTAATAGTGACAGCTGTCAAAGGTGGGTTTTCCATTCACTTTGGGGAGATTTCCTCTCAATTCCTGTTGGTTCTATGGAACATGAAATAAAGGCAAATCTCCCCAGTGGAGACACAAAAATCAAAACAAATGTGACAGAGATTCAAACCATTCTCTACTCTCTGCTAAAATATTAAAAACATTTTTGCTATAGTGCCTATTTAATTTTCCTTAGCAAGAAAGAAGGTATATGGGCACATAATAATTATGTTAACTTAAAACTGAGTTGAAACTTAAAATTAGAAACGAGGCTTTAATTCGACATCTGCTAAGTAAAAAAAAAAAACACTTGGATTCACCAAGATAACTCTGGATTTTGTAAATACCAGTCAAGACCCACAGTGCCGACTGTACATTGACAGTCTGGAATAGATCCAGACCACCACATATTCATACTCTGTAGCATTCCACTCTCCTTTCCAGAGCCTGCAACAAGTGAAAGAGTAGAGTATTTGATAAGAAAACTCAACTAACAGAATATTGTTTATTATGTCAATGCAACTATAGACTTAGTACAGGTCCTGGCCTCATTGAGCCCCCTGGCTCACAGTTGAGTGTTACTGATATGAAGGTATCCAAGACAACTTGGGCAAAAGGAAAGCCCAAAAGGAAGTTACATGGCGGACCAAGTGGCTTGTAAGTAAAAAACAGGCTTTATTATGTTAAAAAATTACAAACACTATAAAAGAGCACAGCTAACCTCACACCATATAAAATGAAAAGAGACACATTGTCTGGTCAAAAGGAAGGGCTGTACAGCCTGCACGTACAATCACCATACTCATCCACACATGTCAGATAATCATGATAGTAATAAACAAGGGGGACTAACATCCATAGAGATTGAATGAGTATCACTTGATGGTAGTAAATCCTAACATGAGTGCTATTTCAAATATCTGAAAATGTGGGTACTGTGTCCATAGTTCTGGATCCAGATGTGAACATTCACATGAATGAATGACAGAATTTAGACTGAGTATGTGTGAAAGTTCACTGGCTTGGGAAAGTCTGTTGAATATCAGCAGTAACGGTAACGCCATCACTGAGGTCCAGCTGCTCAACCATGTGTTAGTATGCTAACCGTAGGAAGATATTCCTGTACAGCCCTTCGTTTTGTCCAGACAACTTTGTCTCTTTTAATTTTATATGGTGTGAGGTTATCTGTGCCCTTTTTTAGTGTTTGTAATTTTTGAACATAATAAAGCCTGTTTTTTACTTGCAAGCCACTTGGTCCACCTTGTAACTTCCTTTCGGGTTTTCCTTTTGCCCCTGTTGTCTTGGATTATAGTAGTGAGTTACGCGGCTCGAACCATTTATTTGGTATAATTCTAGGTGAGTCGGTTTTATCTTACGTGGTTGTCTGATATTTTCACCACGTGATCTGTGGCTATGGGTGGTTCCATGGCGTCATTTTTTTTATTTTTGATTGTGATATGTAGGTACCGTATATACAAAAGATTATAGTCTTTTTCAATATCTTTTTGCTGAAATCCCTTTTTTTGTAAGTGGTTTTTAACTTGAGTTCACACTTGTATTGATTAACAGATGGTATTTTTATTTCTACAGCTGTGACTTCGAGGATACAGCTCAGTACCATGCATCAGCAATGAATGTGAAAGGAGAGAATTCTGCGTTTGCTTCTCTTGTTGTGAAGAGTATGTTTTAATTTTTTTTCTACTTTTTTCTCTGTTTGTAGATATTTGTTTCTCAGATTTCTATTCAAATACATTTTTTATTTATTTTTTACAGGATATAAAGGAGACTTGGATGTGACACCTTTAACTACTTCAAAAGGCGAGCCATTCAGCTGTAAGTTTTCATCAGTTATTTTTCTGTAGGGTAACAAGTTATGAAATCAGGAAAGTTCTAGATATTTTCTAAAGAAGCTGAAATAAGCAACTACCAGCTGTGAAGAAAAACTTTCTTAGTACAGGACCCAGGATATTTATCTTTAATTATAGGTAATATGCAGCTAACTTCAGGTGATTGGACACTGGCAAAAAAGAAATCTGAAGGGACATCCCCTATACAACCTAACCCCCCCCCCCCCCCAACTGGTCTGTTTTTGTTAGTATCCTTAGATGATGGACATCTACTCTACAGAGAGAGGCTTAACTTTTTCCTGTGGAGGTTTTTGACTCTTCCATCAATATTCCTGGCTGCACCATAGATACTGCAGCTCCTTCTGTGGCTTCTGGATTGGTTGACACCTTGGCTGAGCCTTGAAGACTGTACCTGGACCCTGCTTGAATTTGGGGGCTATCCTGTAATTTTGCTTCAGGCACCGGATCCTCTGTGGGTGCTCACCTTGCATATGGTGCATTGTGTTAAATTAGCAGCAGGTGCTATGCAGATCCAGGATCATTGTCTGTTGGAGGCAGAGCCCTATCCTTGAACACTCATTTGGGGGTATGCCCACCATAAAGGGTTAAGTCAGTCACAATATCTACAATGTAATTTTATATGCATAATTTTTGTTTATCTAAAGGCCTTAAATGACAGGGATCACAAACTAGCCCTTAGTCTTCCCTTCTGAGTTGGTTTCTGACTGAGAGGAAGATCCATCCTCTTCTTCTGAGGAACTGGATTAGAAATAGTCACCTTCGGCTGAAATTTCATCCAAGCTTGAGGATACCGTTGCTACCCTTATTGGTGCTGTATGATTTTGTTTACCATTAGAGCAGCTCACCCCAAGGTCTCCTACATTGTGTCCTTACAATTACCAAGCCATGCTAAGACCTTTCAATTCCACTCAGGCCTAGAACCTGTCCTGTATGGTGACTGGTTTTACCATAAAACTCTCCAAACAAATTTGCTCAGCATTATCCTATCAAGTAGAGCTTCATGCAAGAATGGATGTTCACTGCCATCTCTTACCATGTCTTGAGGGACAGGGGCTTATCAGATTCAGTTATCCCTACCCTTTTCAAGGCCAGGAAATGGACTTCCTTGAAGGTATTCCATCACACCTGGAAAGCCCTTTCTGTGGTGCAAGGCTAGGAAGTTACATCCTAGGAAGTAATCATAGGGGGAGATTTAGTAAAACTTGTGCACACAAAATCTAATATAGCTGTGATTAGTAGTCAATCAGCTTCTAACTTCAGTTTTTTCAGTTAAACTTTGACAATAAAAACTAGAAGCTGATTACATATTATGCACAGCTGTACCAGATTTTGTGTGCACCAGTTTTAGTAAATCTGCCGCCATGGGGCACATATTGCCCTTTCTACAGTTTGGTTTAGATCAGCATCTGTCCTTGAGTACAATCAAGGGACAAAATCTCAGTACTGGCTGTTCTGTTACAAAGACTATTGACCTGTCATCTCCTGCTTAAGGTGTTTGTACAGGGCAGGGGCGGACTGACAACTTGTGGGGCCCCTGGGCAATAGGGGATCATGGGGCCCCTGTGTCCTTGCCCAAACTCAAAAAAGCCTACTGACAGGGGCATCCATAGGGCCCCCCTCGGGCCCTCGGGCAGTGCCCGAGTTTCCAAATGGTCAGTCCGCCCCTGGTACAGGGTGTTGCACACATTTCAGTACACTCCCTGTGAATCTGTAGGACCTTAATCTGGTTCTCTCAACCCTGCAAAAGCTACCGTTTGAAACCTATTAGGGATATTCCCTTGTTTGACCTCACTCGCAAGGTGTTCTCCACAAAACACAATACAAGTAATATTAGGATGAACTTATATTGACCTGGAATATTCCAGTGTTAAAATTAATCAGTGTACAATGCACTGAAAGGATTTGGACATTTTTCTTGCTATCTATATTCACTGTCAGTATATACAATTATTAAGTGTTCTTGCATGGCAAGACCACTTACTGTTATCTCACATATATATTCTTATTATTGTAGCCAAATTTACCACCGTAACTCCTCCCACAGTTGTTACACTACACAGACAGTAATATACCGAAACGTGCGGATTGTTCCCGATTGGTGTGCTATTACTTTGTGGAATGTTTCGCAGAATGGTTCATGAAATATCGGCGTTTTTGTGGTGAAATTGGTCCCATATGAATGAATGGCGGAGTGTTCAAAACTAGAGTGGGAGCTGACAAAAGCTACAGTGTGAGCTGAAAAATCAGGACATGATTTCTAAACTGCCATCACTCCCTCATTTTCAAGCCCACCTACACAAATCTTTATATCAAAACGTTCAGCTATCCCTGCTGCCACTAAAAATGTCCACTGCTAAGCCATAGTCCTGATAGTTTTCACAATATGACCATTTGTTTGCAACTCACGCCGCCCATTGACATTCATTGAAACTGCACTCTAGCCACCTCAAATTTGAAGGGCAATTTCTAAACTGCGACTGTGCCTTCATTTTTAATATTTCAGAGACATTCTAAGCATCAAAATGTAGGTCTGGGTCTTGTGATTCTCACAATATAAAGCTCTTCGCTGTAGGATTTATAGTTTTTAAAACTACAACCATTTCAAGACACCAGTGAAGTCCTTTTCACAGTTACTCCAGCCACTCCAACCACACAACGGTTACTCAAGCCACTCCACCCAGTTACTCCGCCCACTCCAGTTGTAGACTACTGGTGGAGGCAAGAACACTTCACACACAATTTCCCCAGAAATTGTAGCTTTTCAAGTTATCTTTATTATTGCTTTTTGATTTGATCTTTTTAGTGATCTTTTTATAGATATCTAAAGGGGAAATAGGATCCTTTCAGTGCATTGTACACATATTCATTATAACACTGGATAATTCCAGGTTAATGTGAGTGCACCCTAATATTATTTGTTTTCTATTTAAAATTTGGCACAACTGAATTGCTGAGTGGTCATCTACTCCTGTGACTTATGCCCAGCCATGCATCCTACTATCATATATTTGACCTGGCTTGTTCCTTGACCCTGTTTTATCCTGATCTCCTATTGCTGACCTTGGCTTCTGCCTGCTGTTTTAGTAGTTCTGCTGCTAGTCCTATATTGATCTCAGCCAGATTTCTGACCCTGATACTGTCTACTGATTTGGTACCTCTGCTAATCAGTTGTGGTGACTCCTACATGTTCCTGTGTGTGCCACCATTGTGCATAAGCTCCAGTATAATCATCTGCAGCATTTCGGCAACATCCAGTCTATAGTCTGATCATCAACTATGCCAGGACCTACTGCAGGCACATGTACCATTCCTTATCCTGCTACACTCTGTCACCAATTCCGAGAGAGTATTGGACAGGAGGTGTAAGGGAAGCCTTCTTATCAGCTCAGCCTCTATCAGGTACATAACCATCTACTTTATAAAGAGTCTTTCCTAGTCTTTCAAGGTTTTTCTGAAGCGTAAAGCCTCTTTTCTCTCTAAGGTAATTTCCTCTGTTCACCAAAAAAGGCCATTATTGTTCCTTCCTTATGTCTTGCTTTGAAACAACCCAAATAAATTTTTCTCCACTGTCTTGACATGGGAAGTGCTGCGATAAACTTATTCTTGGCCACAGTCTCTTTTTGGGAAAAAGGATTCACTCTTTGCATTTCGCAAAGGTTTTCTCAGAGATTCCATCTCCATGCTTGTCACTGCACTATTGCTTGGTTGATCAGACATTTGAGTCTATTGTCTAAAGAATAGGATTCCTTCCTTCTCTGTTAAGGCACATTCTATCAGATCTATTAGTGCTTTGTTTCTTAGAGTTGCAAGGCTGCTGCCTGGCCTTCGGTTCCCACGTTTGTTAGGTTCTACCAAACAAATATTCAGACCTCCTTTTGGGCATACAGTGCTACAAGCTACTCATATTTTTCAAGACCCTTCTTGACCTGTCCGGTATGTGGGCTTGTTTGTGTTTGTTTCCATGTTGGACTGGCTATGGATTTCCCATTGCTAAAGGCTGAGGATCCTGTGTCCTTTCCTATACAATTAAGAAAAAAGGATTTTTGACATGTTTTACTAGTAAGTAAAAAATCCTATTTTATGTGAGCTAGGGATGTAGCATGTGTATGACTTTGCCAAATGTATATATTAGGTTAACTAATTACTGGTTCTTTGGATCTTTTTTTTAGTTGCCGTCACTCCATATGGATTTGCTTCAAAGTTTGATATTCATTTTATTGACCCATTTGGAGTTTCCTTTGGGAAAGAAGGTGATACATTAAGTTTGGGTTCCACAGTCGTTGTTCACCCTCAAATAAAACGATTCCAGCCAGAAATTCAATGGTACCGAAATGGTAGGAAACAATTTTCAATTGTAGGACTGTTACATTGCTTAAACAATGCTTTATACCCCTCAAAGAATTATTTCTCCTGCTCTTTCTTCTCTTAGGTTTTATGCTATGAACCTTTCCTGTATAGCTTAATATAGTAAAATATGAATCTCCTCCCAACCCTGGTCTAGGCATGCCTAACATCTACAACAACTAACTAATGATGTCAATAAACCTCTTCCATCTCCTTTCTGTCTCCTCTGCAAATATGGGGGAAAATGCAGTAACTCTTCTACAAAAACTGACTTTGTCCAACCCAACAATAGCAAAAATATCACATTTTCCTATAGAAATACTTCTTGGTACTTTCAATAAGGATACATTACATATAAAACATTCAACAAGTACAAAACTACAAAACAACTTGCACACATTTCTGATTTCATTTTTATTTAGTGCTATATTTATACAATTTTCATGTATTAATTTTATTCATTACTTTTTTGTAAGCTGATTGGAGTCAGATCTTCCCTAGAATGGGTTCGCTCATTTCAATTTTAACTTAAAGGTTCCCAGTGTATAATTGCACGTTGCATTTCATTTTTGCCTTTTGACAATGTTAAGGTTTCATCACAAGGTTAAGGATTGCTTTTTGTGCCTAAATTATTGATAATATTCATATTTGTACAGCCATATATTTTTACCTCTGTTGTGTTTAGGAGTTCTGGTCTCCCCTAACAAGTGGGTCAGCACACACTGGAGTGGAGGACATGCCACCCTGACTCTCAGACATCTGAATAAGGAAGATGAAGGACTGTACACACTGCGAGTGGTGATGGGAGAATACTATGAGCAATACAGCGCGTATGTGTTTGTCAGGGGTAAGAGACAGTATATCATTCCAAAAACAAGAATATTACACAATACTGCAGTTGTGTAATTATCCATTAAATCAGTGACTGAATAATTGTTTTCTGCAAGTGATTACGGTGTTTTTAACCTTTTTGAACATTTTTCTTTTCTTACCAAAATCATTTCTAGAGCTAAGCAAGTCTTTAAATGTTCTGTTAAAGTTAGAATATGAATTCAGGATCAAATGAGCAGATGTGGATTTATGTGGATCAGATTACTTACTCATAAAGGAATGTAAAAGAGAAAAGTAAATTTGTAAACGTCCATTGGATTCCTTCACAAGCTACCTTTGACCACTTTTTCTATTATTGATTACTCAAGAATGACATCATGAAATTAGAACAGTGAAAGTGGTTCCTACAATTTATAATCTCTTCTACAATACTGTGATATTGTTGTACATGCAACAGATAATCTAAAGTCTAGAAGTCTTTAGGTTAACTGTCCCATGCTGCCTATTAATTGATAAAACTAATAAAAGTCTTTATGCATGTATCGGCTAGCAGAAGTGGTCTTAGTTTGGGTTCGGATGGCCTATTGATTCCCTTCTAACACCAAGTGTGGCTCTGGTGGGGGCAAGTTCTGTGTGAAGCTTAGGCAGCATCCATTTTTAATGTTAGGTCCATTTTAAAGTGTGCATATACCATTTTGTTTTGTTTTGGATAAATTAGGTAAGGGTTAAATCTTCTGTTTTTGATTTTAGCCCATTCTTTCTTTTTGGAGTGCTTTAAAATGTTCATACATTTTTTTGTGAACAAGATTACAAACACCCGGGGAATTTTTAAGATGTAGGCCATTTTTTAAGGCTTACACACTATAGCTTACACACTCCAAAACAGCAGAAATCCACCTCCATTCTTCCTAGTGGGGTTGGAGTGCTTTTTCTTATAGACCTTGTTGACTCTTCACCAAACATAGCATTTATGATTGTGACAATAAAGTTTACGTTTTGGGCTCATCATTTCAAATGATTTTGTTCCAGGCTTGAGGCTTCTCTAGGGGTTGTTTGGTGTATTGTACATGGGACAATTTGTTGCTTGGTGCAGCTCACATTTTACAAATTCTGCCAGAAATTTGCAAACTTATGAGTATGACCTGTACGTTCCAAATTTTCTTTTTTAAGATTCAAATAAAGCATGGAAGGTTTTAAACCTCTATCAGGTTATTTGTTGCTGTGTATGTCCCACTTGGCAAATTTCCCATCACTTCTTGTCTTCTTGTCTTGGATACACAGGAAGCGGTTATACATAGTAAATCCCTCTAAAGTGAAGGGAATTAGCAAGTTCCCTTGCAAAATGCAACTTCCCTTGCAAAGTAAGGAGTCTATTTGCTTTTAGTAAATCAGCCCTAATCTGTCCATTCAAGCTGTAGACACATTTGAACTACCTCTAGTTCTCTTTCTGTTTCTGCTTTTGTTTATCTTTACAGTATGTGTTGATAAAATTTAAGCCTCTCATAAAAAGTATCTGATATAAAGAAAAAATGAGCACAAAATAGATAAGTAAAGATACCAGTTTAACTTTTTGTTCCTTTTTTATAGTAGATATTTTTTATCCCAAACTACTCTGTATGATTATGTGAACGTGTTTGGCAGTATTAAAGTGGAGCTCCACCCAAAAGGGGAAGTTCCGCTTAAAGGCCTGCTCCCCCACTCCCCAGTAACCTCCCTGGCGGTATTCCCGAGTGTAGCTTGGGGTAAAGTTTCAGTACCAAAAGCGGTAACCCCGAGCTACACTCGGGCGTACCATGCAGCGCTGCTCCGGGATCTGTTCTCTTACCTTGTCCTGCACTCCCGCGATGTCCCTCCTGCAGTGTCCCCGGCAATGTCCTCCGGCAGATGCCAGCATCTGTCTTCTGGGTTCCGTTCCCCGTGACGTCAGGACGTACAGGGACGGAGCGGCGGGAAATTTGAAAATGACAAAAAGTGACATTCATTAATACACTAAAATCTCATAGTAAAACATTACTGTATCAAAGCATTTCACATACATTTTGTCCTGAGTGCTTTGTCCTGTGCCCTGCCTGCATTTTTTACTGTTCTTTCTGCCTGGAAACTGAGAATTGTCCATGGCGTCCAAAAAGCGTCCCTTTAGGTTTTAGACCAGCTAGAGAACAGTGATAGTAAATCAGAACCACTTGCAGAATTGAGTGATAATGATTCGTGGGGAAATTCGTCATCAGACACTGAAAACGATTTTGCGACTTTGCTCAGTGATGTGCGAACTTGGCACTATATTTCAAATTTCAGTGTTTTTGGTTTGATTATATTATTGAATTACATTTATTATTATTATATTATTTTTTATGATTATTTATTAAATTATAATTTATGATTTCGTGTTTCAAATTTTAACATACCCAGGATGTTCGGACAGGTTTCAATGAGTTATTCCTAAAAATGACAGGCCTACAATAAAAAAAACAACATATTTCCATGCAAAAAAAATGTACTGCTTTGAGCACAGAAATATGGACATAATCAGACCACTAGAGAGGTTAAAGATTGGCACCTTTGGGGAACGGGGGGAACTGGTACCCGAATTTCACAGGTACCCGCTCCCACTTCCGGAGCTGAAGGTGTCCTCCCTCCCTCCCTGTAGTCTTTTGGGACACGTTACAGGTCCCAGAAGACTACAGGACCATTCATGAAGCGAAGAGCTACTCGCGCATGCGCAGTGGGTACCCAGCTGTGAAGCCGCAAGCTATTACAGCTGGGTGCCCACACTGAAGATGCCGGCCTCCTGGAATACAGGACGGCTAGTGAAACGGGCTGCAGGGGACACAACGTGGGACCGAGGGACAGGTAATTGGCTGTTTTTTAAAAGTCAATAGCTACAGTTTTTGTAGCTGCTGACTTATTTTTTGACAGCATGAGTGGAACACCACTTTAAGTCTAAGCCAAAAACAAGCCAAAGAATGCAGCAATACCTCTCCGCAATGCCATACTGCTTTCATCTATCAGACAGAAGCCCAAGCTCGTAATGCTAAAATGTTAACATAACTTTATGTGTCGTCAATCTGTTAGCTAGAAGCTAGCACACATGATACTGTCAACAGCTCAGGATGGTGCCCATAGGTCTATGACCTTTAAAAATATTTTGATTCTGGAAAACTATGCAATTGAGATGCATGGTTGTATAATATCTATTGTTAAAGGTAACAGGAAAATATTTGGCAAATTCGTTGTCTAGTTTTATAATTTAATAAAGTGTTTCTTCTTCTTCAGTAGAGCTGGTGGGATCACATTTCAAGCAGTGTGGGGACAGATTTAATCTCTGTGTCAGCTGTTACAGGGAGCAGCTGATGGTCTGGCAAACCAACAGTGTTAGAGTGCTTGTCATTCTTGGCTATAAGTGAAGGTTCCAAAAAGACACCTATGCTAAGTTCAGCAGTACATATAAAAAAGCAACCGTGACTACAGAGACACAAATAGATACACTTTCAAATAATCTTTGTCATTATATTAATGAACGTAGCAACATCATATTCTCCAGATCATTGTGAAATAAAGGGTAGTGTCCCCTTGTGGTATTAGAACACAGACGCTCATCCTAATGTGGCTGGCATGTGGGTATCCTCAAAGACTTGAATGGGCTGCCTGCAAGCAGCACCTGCCACCTAGGGATACATATACAAACAACCTTATTACGGTGTATGGGCATCAGTACCCATGTGAATGAGGCCTGAGTAAATAAAGTGCTATTTTTATAACTATTACTTTCTCCATAAACTAAATATGAATAACAAATGGCAAATACATATAATAAATTCATTTAAAAAACAGTAATTCTTACCAATACATGTGCTAAACATCACTGTCCAAAACATTATCTGATTTTTCTCTGCAAAAAATCTTAGTAAAGTGACTTGTGCATTTCCCAAACCTGGCAGTAGCCTTATGTGCAAAAACCAATACAAATTTGTATCCATTTGTAATAAAGTGCATATACAACAGTATCTGTATTCTTTGTTCAATGTGAGCTCAAACATCAGATTCCCCTTGCATAGTAAGACCACAATGGATCTCTGTGACCCTTAAAGTATTAATAATATAATAAAGGAAGGTGGGGTTTTAACAGTGGTATTTTTCTGGATCTGGTAATTTTTAGAAAGAAGGGAAAAACATATACAGTTTTTTTTTAAGAAACAGATGATAATAGTTTCATAGAGACCTCTATCTGCCATCACCCTAGATGGATTTCAGATATCCCAAAAGGTCAGATCATGAGACTGATAATGCGGTTAATAATCTCATAAACAATGGTGCTTTGCTTACATGGTGATTTGCTTATATTCCCTCCAGCCCGTGCCCCCTCCCCTAACTTCTCCATCAAGATCAATAATACAACCATCAGTCCCTCCCCTCATGCCAGGGTACTAGGTGTAATCCTAGACTCCCATCTGTCCTTTCACCCCCAAATCCAATCACTGTCTAAATCTTGTAGACTTCATCTCCGCAACATCTCCAAGATACACCCGTTCCTAACCTTGGAAACCACTAAGCAACTTATTCACTCCCTTGTTATATCTCATCTTGACTATTGTAACTCCCTCCTCATTGGCCTATCTAATCGCAGGCTATTCCCTCTTCAGTCTATCATGCATGCTGTTGCCAGACTCATCCACCTTACTAACCATTCCATATCTGCCATCCCTCTCTGCCAATCCCTCCACTGGCTTCCCATTGCCCAACGGATAAAATTCAAAACATTAACAATAACATATAAGGCCATTTGTAACTCTGCCCCAAATTACATCACCAATCTTGTCTCCAAATATCATCCAAACTGTCCTCTCCGCTCCTCACATGACCTCCTGCTCTCTAGCTCCCTTTGTCTCCTCCTCCCATGCTCGTCTGCAGGACTTCTCCAGAGCCTCTCCTATCCTCTGGAACTCTCTACCCCAAGCTATCCAACTTTCGCCTACTCTGCCCACTTTTAGGTTTTCAGAGATCGCCTATCTCTTCAGGGAAGCCTATCCCGCCTTCAGCAAATAACGGAATATTCTATTCCTTCTATCAGTTCATCCCCCACAGTTATTACCTTTTGTACCACCAGCCCCTCCCTCTTAGATTGTATGCTCCAAGGAGCAGGGCCCTCCTAACCCTCTTGTATTGAACTGTATTGTTGCTCTATTGTCTCCCTTTATATTTTAAAGTGCTGAGCAAACTGTTGGCGCTATATAAATCTTGTATAATAATAATAATATGCATGTAACACTACCCTAATGAGGACCGCTGAGTTTTTGGGTCCCCCTAAGCTCTGCACAGCCAGGCAACACACATTTTTCACACTTTCATCCACAGTCAGTAAACAGTCAATGAACTTTTTTTTGTTGTTTTATTAGGGGTTAATAACTTGGATGGGGTCTAGGGGTATATACTGTATGGGATGCTCAATGGAACTGAAACAACTTAGAGGACAACTTAATCCAGCAAAAGCACAAAAGAACAAATCTGAGGGTCTCTACTCCTTTAGGAGTGGCTCTTCTCTTCTGAAAGATAAACATTCAGTCTTTGCAAGGAGCACTTGGTCCCCTTAAATGAACCTCCTCAGACCCCAGATAAAAATCTCCTTTCACCTTGCTGTCTTGAGAGTATCCCAGAGCAAGGGATTCCAAAACACAAAAATAATTCAGTTCCAGGGAGAGCTAGTTGGATATTGCCCCTGACTGCCCTCTCTCTTCTTAGGCTCAGGGTGTGTAGAAGTACTCACACTATCCTGTTACTGTAGCTTTGAAAGGTTGAAGCTGCTTTCAGGGCTTATGCTGGGCTGGCTTCTTTTCCTGCTGACAGGCTATCTTTCCCCAGTAGACTGCAGGACAGTGAAGATCCCTCTTTCCAGCTTCCAGCCTGTACGCAGATCCCCCATCTTTGAGGCCTCCTCCCAGACTCCACACCAGCAGCTCTTCCTCACTCCATCTTCCACCCAACTGCCCTGCTCACCAGGCTCTCTCATATTTAAAGGCTAATCTAGCCACCTTGCCAAGCCTCCTGCCTGCCTCCCCTAATTATGCAGATCAGCCCATCCTCACCCCTGCCTAATTGCTTCTAGAAACGTCTCCAAGTCTCTATAGCAGGGGGAGGTATCAGAAAACTGACCCGTAGAGCCCTCCAGCATTAACCTGAAGTAACCCTGCTGACTCACTCCCAGGCTGACTCATACCCAGGCTTCTAGAAAGCCTCTAACTTTAAAAAAAAAAAAAAAAAAACTATCTACACTAGAGGGCATTACATGCATATGAAGGTTTGTTGAGGATGTGTATGAAAATTCAGGTTTTATCAGATATAGGTAGTATGGAATTTACTGTACGTCTAATGATATCCGGCTAATCAACAAATGTAAAAACGTACATGTTTATACATGAATATTGCATTGTATGCTAATTGAAGAACTGATCTTTTATATTTGTGCTCTTTTATGACAGATATATATAATGTACCTGTATACTTACAAAGTGAGTGCTGGGCTAACCTGGTAAATAAAGTAATTTTATTCATAGAGGATGTTTCCTTTTCTTTCTGTAAATGTTTCCTTTTCTTTCTGCATGAGGCCCCATTTACACTATGGCATTTTGAATCGCAGGCAGAATCGCTGAGCTTCTTCCCACAATTTCAAAAAGCTTTGCTAAAATAACAAATCGCACAACATCATGTTCAGGTGCCATTCATTTTAATGGCACCTAAAAACACAGTGCTGCTCTGTAGCAATTGACACACGATAAATTGTGTGCAAACCACATCACACAAAGCGTGTCGCCCAAAAGAAGCTCAGGAGCTTCTTTTGGGTGACACGCTTCATGCTATGCACTTTGCCACGATTTCAGCACGAATTATCACATGACAATTGCTCCAGAACTGCACTGCATTTTTAAAAAAAAATGAATGGCACCTGAACAAGCTGTCGTGCTATTTGTTATTTTAGCAAAGTGTTTTGAAATTGCGGGCAAAATCACAGTAATTCTATGCGAGATTCAAAACACCATAGTGTAAATGGGGCCAAATTCAAGAGTATTTGACCCACTTATTAGGGTCCCAGAGATCCAGTGAGTTCTTACTGCACAAGAGGAATCTGGTGTTTGGTATCACATAGAAGGAAAGTCTGATAAAATTAGTATGACATTTTTTTTTTGATATTGTCATTAATTTGGTAACCAGCCTATCTCTTGTCTTTTTTGATTATACAGAAAATATGTTGGACCTGTTATCAAACCAGTTCAGTATTGTTCTCTTATTTATTTCTATTCTACACTAGATGTTGAGGCAGAAGTATCTGGAGCTCCAGCTGCACCACTGGATGTGGAATGCCTTGATGCTAACAAGGACTATGTGATAATCTCTTGGAAACAGCCGGCAGTAGATGGTGGAAGTTCAATACTGGGATATTTCATTGACAGGTTAATATTACCTATATTTATACACAAGTAAAATTTTGCAGTAGCGGAGATTTAATATGACATTTTGCCTACTTATACAGATGAACTAGCAGATGACCATCTCATATTATTCTAATAACTACTATATAATAGCCCCTTATAACTATGAACCTGCAAAAAAACAAATCTTATTGGCATAAAATTACAATTTATATAAAAATATAATGAAACATCAAATGTTTATTATTATGATTATTACAGTGTAACATTTTATTTTTTCACCCTTCTCCAAGGTGTGAGGTTGGCACAAGCCACTGGACCCAGTGTAATGACACACCCGTAAAGTTTGCCCGCTTCCCAGTGACAGGATTAATTGAAGGACGATCTTACATATTCCGTGTGAGAGCTGTAAATAAGACTGGAATCAGCAGACCTTCCCGAGTGTCAGAGCCAGCAGCAGCTCTGGATCCTGCCGACCGAGCCAGAATCAGAAGTAAGACGTATGCCTGGCTAATAATAACTTACTCAGTCTACTGTGCAAATACTGAAAGTGAAAAATCATGTGTGGTGCACCAATATAACATGTTAAAGATTTGGCCCAGCAGTCAAGAGGAAACACTTAAACAAGGATAAGCTAAGCCTAATAAAAATGTGTGATGATATGAAAATAGTGTGTTAGGAATATCAAGCATGCATTGGATTATATATAGCTTGACAGACAGAAAGAACTCAACCTAAGGACATGAAGTCCAAAATCATCATCAAATATTCCAAAAGATATTAGACCAAGGAAGAGGCAGATGCAGGTGAGTCAATCTAAGGGTGAAAGGGAATGGAAAACCTTGTGATGAAATTTTTAAATTATAGGATGTGGACACTGAACAAATCTCTCAAGATAAAAGGAAATATAAGATGGTAAATAAGTTTGCATAAACGATTAGGCATATGTAAAAGGTGAGATGAATAAGACAAGACAATGGAACAAATGGGATGGTCCATGAAGGATCAGTATGATAAATGGGAGGTACAGGGAAGACAGTGAGAGCAGTAACTGAAAAAAAGAGGCTAACTGAAGGAAAAGGGAAGTCTGAGGACAGACTGAGAAGAAAAGAGTCTTAAACTGAATGAAGAAGGGAGATGATAGATTGATGAGCCAATCACTAGTCTAGTAGTATGCATATACACTATATTGCCAAAAGTATTGGGACACCCCTCCAAATTATTGGATTCAGGTGTTCCAATCACCTCCATAGCCACAGGTGTATAAAATCAAACACCTAGGCATGCAGACTGCTTCTACAAACATTTGTGAAAGAATGGGTTGCTCTCAGGAGCTCAGTGAATTCAAGCATGGTACTGTGATAGGTTGCCACCTGTGCAAAAAGTCCATCCATGAAATTTCCTCCTTGCTACTAAATATTCCACGGTCAATTATTAGTGGTATTATAACAAAGTGGAAGCAGCTGGGAACAATAGAAACTCAGCTATGAAGTGTTAGGCCACGTAAAATAACAGAGCGACGTCAGCTCATGCTGAAGTGCGCAGTGCGTAGAAGTCACCAACTGTCTGCAGAGTCAATAGCTAAAGACCTCCAAACTTTGTGTGGCCTTCAGATTAGCACAACAGTGCGTTGAGAGCTTCATGGAATGGATTTTAATTTCCGAGCAGCTGCATCCAAGCCTTACACCATCAAGTGCAATGCGAAGCATCCGATGCAGTGGTGTAAAGCATGCCACCACTGGACTCTAGAACAGTGGAGACGTGTTCTCTGGAGTGACGGATCATGCTTCTTTGTCTGGCAATCCGATGGACATGTCTGGGTTTGGCGATTGGCAGGAGAATGGTACTTATCTGACTGCATTGTGCAAAGTCTAAGGTCTGGTGGCGGGGGTATTATGGTGTGGTTTTGTTTTTCAGGGGTTAGGCTTGGCCCCTTAGTTCCAGTGAAAGGAACTCTTAAGTTGTCAGCATACCAAGACCTTTTGGACAATTTCATGCTCCCAACTTTGTGGGAACAGTTTGGGGATGGCCCCTTCCTGTTCCAACATGACTGTGTACCAGTGCACAAAGCAAGGTCCATAAAGACCTGGATGAGTGAGTTCGGGATGGAGGAACTTGACTGGCCTGCACAACCCAACAGAAAATCTTTGGTATGAATTAGAGCGGAGACTGCGAGCCAGGCCTTCTCATCCAACATCAGTGCCTGACCTCACAAATGCACTTCTGGAAGAATGGTCAAACATTCCCATAGACATACCCCTAAACCTTCTGGACAGTCTTCCCAGAAGAGTTGAAGCTGCTATAGCTGCAAAGGGTGGGCCAACTCAACATTGAACCCTACGGACTAAGACTGGGATGCCATTAAAGTTCATGCACATGTAAAGGCAGGCGTCCCAATGCTTTTGGCGATTTAGTCTATATTCAGTATGGGGATGTAACATGTATTTAAAGTGTCCCTGTGCTCAGGCTATGTTATAATTATTTATTTTGTACTATATTAACTAACAATGACAATATTTTTAATGGATGATTTGTATTTATGATCAGAAGAAAACTATTACACACTAATTACATGGATCACCCAAGTCTTTCTAAAGCAATCTCCTTTAAATTTACCAAAATTTTCCAATCAGTGTGTATTCAATTAGGCAGGGTCTTGCACTACATAGTTGTTGGTATATTTAACTACCAGCACTTTTACCCCCTTCCTGCCCAGGCCAATTTTCAGCTTTCAGTGCTCTTGCACTTTGAATGACAATTGCACGGTCATGCAACACCGTACCCATATGAAATTTTTTAGTATTTTTTTTTACACAGATAGAGATTTCTTTTGGTGGTATTTAGTCACCACTGTGTTTTTAATTTTTTGCACTATAAATTAAAAAAGAGTGAAAATTTTGAAAAAGAATGGTTTCTTTGTTTCTATTATAAAATTTTGCAAACAGGTAATTTTTCTCCTTCACTGGTGTACATTGATGAGGCAGCACTGATATTCAGCACTGATGGGCACTGATAGGTAGCACTGATTGGCACTAATAGGTTGCACTGATGAGGCAGAACTGGTGGGCATTGATGAGGAGGCACTGATGATGCTGCACTGATATGTGGCACTGATAAGCAGCAATGATGGGCACTGATAAGCAGCAATGATGGGCACTGATAGGAAGCACTGATGGACAATAACTGGCAGCTCTGACTAGTGCCACTAATTGGAGACACTGACTGATGGGCACAGATTGGCAGCACTGCTGGGCAGCCCTGTTGTGAAGTGATGTGCAGCAGTGTTGGACACTGATGGCTAACACTGCTGTGCAGCACTGTTGGGCACTTTTGGGGCTTCACTGATAAGCAGGGCACTGATAATCAGTGCCCTGATTTAAATTATCAGTACAGATGGTTCCTTTGACAGTTGCCGGTTATCGGCAGTACTTTCCTCACGCTGTGAAAGTGTGAGGAAAGTACTGCTGATAACCAGCAAGTACATTTACATGGTGCTCAGCTGTGATTGGAAACAGTTGATCACATGGTAAAAGGCCGCTGTGATTGGCCCTTCACCATTTCATGTGATCAGCTATGTCCAAAGAACACAATGATCACAGACAGCGCCGGGGTGTGCGCCGCTGGGAGCGAGCTGGAAGCCCGTTCTGGGAGGACGTGATATGACACCCTCCAAGAACTGGATGACCATGCTGTAGCTTTCATTTGGCTATAGCATGGTAAGGAAGTGGTTAAAGTAGATTTTAAAGCCAAATTGTAACTTGTGTTGTGAGCTTCATTTGCATTGCATTATTCCCTTGGTGGCAATGCATGAACCACAACTGTTCTATTACCTGGCTTTGCAAGCTTACGTTCCTCTCTCTGATAGTATTCATCCAACTGAAATAACACCACAATCAAGTATAGTATATCCAATGAAATCTTCTGCTGCCTGAAGACATCATGCACATACAGTATGGTTAGGTCTTAGAAAGGTTTGTTTTATATTGGCTAGGGTCAATCTTCAGTTAACCTTGTTTCACTAGATAAAATTACGCTTATATCCTAGGTCGTCCTTCTGCTCCATGGACCGGACAGATCATTGTGACTGAGGAAGAACCTACAGGTGAGAATTTTGATTTTCATATAATGCTGACAACTGGAAGTGATATTCCAGAGGGGCATTCGCTACCTTGGAGGAAGCTCACAAATGTGGTCTGCTAACACTGCACACACAGATGCTGTTCTAGTCAGTGGTAGCAATGTATCTCATGTAAGTGGATTTGCCTAGGTTGACATTAATGTTTCTTACCATAATGCAGGGAACACATTAAGGTAAATATAGGTGAGACTTTAGAACCAATGAAATTCTTTCTAGCAGCCTGCAATTTATGTTCTTGCAAAAAAACAAAGTTCAATGATGTTTAATTACTTGTTCGATACTTGATATCCAGGAAATACTAGACCTAACCACTATTTGCATGTAAGCTAGTCACATACATACAACCTATTTCATAAAGAGACAGCACGGAAAAAGCTTCCTGCCTTCAGACCTTGTCTCAATGAAACTTCAGAAAGAGCCATCTGACTGAGTCACTGACCCATTAAGTAGTATGTGTAAATTTCATTATGTGCTATTGAGCTCTGTAAACAGCTGGAATTCTTTTTTTTTTTTGCAACTAGAGGTAGGGAGAAATGGGAAAATATATGAAAAGGAGATTGAAGATCCACTGAATGGCTGAAAGGCTTTGCAGTATTTTAGTTTACATACCTGACCATAATAAATAAAAGAATACATGAACAAAACCATTAGACATTTCCTTTAAAAAGTCATAAAAGTGGATAAAAGCTGTCAAGCATTACACATTTGGACACCAATCTATGAATCATTTCCTCTTGCTTTGTATTATATTTACATTGTTTTATTTCCTTTAGTAAAGGAACAATGTAGCTTCATGCAGCTAGCATCACTGCTAGAAATAGAACCCAAGAATTCAGCACTGGTAGGAAAGAGTGCTATCAACATAGTTACTAATTTTTCATTCATTTATGAGTGACTGCTCTGTGTCTGTCATCTGCAGAGGGGGTTATTCCTGGACAACCATCTGATCTCACTGTGACAGAGGCCACTAAAAACTATGTGGTGCTCAGCTGGAAGCCACCTGGTCTACGCGGTCATGAAGGTGTTATGTATTATGTGGAAAAGGTGATATCCCATTGGTACAAATAGTATTACAATCTAGAGTTTGTTTGTTTAACATGTTGCAGTTTAATAAAAATGTAGAAAAAATCAACTGCTCAAAAAAATTAAAGGAACACTTTGAAAACACATCAGATCTCAATGGGAAAAAATATCATGCTAGATATCGATACTGATATGGACTGGGTAATGTGTTAGGAATGTAAAGATGCCCCATCGTTTGATGAAAATGAAAATTATCAACCTACAGACTGATATCAAAGACACCCTGAAAACCAAAGTGAAAAAAATGATGCAGTAGGCTAGTCCATTTTGCTGACATTTCATTGCAGCAACCCAAAATGGTACTCAGTAGTTTGTATGGCCCCCACGTGCTTGTATGCATGCCTGACAATGTCGGGGCATGCTCCTAATGAGACGATGGATGGTCTCCTGGGGTATTTCCTCCCAGATCTTGACCAGGGCATCACTAAGCTCCTGCACAGTCTAAGGTGCAGCCTGGCGACATTGGATGGACCGAAACATCATATCCCAGAGGTGTTCTATTGGATTTCGGGCAGGTTGACAATGGGTCCAAGGATTTCATCCCGATACCTAATGGCAGTCAGGGTGCTATTGTCAAGCCTGTAGAGGTCTGTGCATCCCTCCAGGGATATGCCTCCCCAGACCATCACTGACCCACCACCAAAACGGTCTTGCTCTGGCAGTACTCATCCTGTTCCTCTTTGCACAAAGGAGCATATACTGGTCCTGCTGATGGGTTAAGGACCTTCTACAGCCCTGTCCAGCTCTCCTAGAGTAAGTGCTTGTCTCCTGAAATCTCCTCCATGCTATTGTAATCATGCTGGGAGACACAGCAAACTTTCTGGCAATGGCACGTATTGATGTTCCATCCTTGAGGAGTTGGACTGCCTGTGCAACCTCTGTTGGGTTCAGGTGTTGCCTCATGCTACCAGTAGTGACACTGACCCTAGCCAAATGCAAAACTAGTGAAAAAAAAGTCAGAAAAGATGAGAAGGGAAAAAAATGTCAGTTGCCTCCACCTGTAAAACCATTCCTGTTTTTAGGGGTCGTCTCATTGTTGCCCATCTAGTGCACCTGTTGTTATTTTCATTAACACCAAAGCAGCTGAAACTGATTAACAACCACCTCTGCTACTTAACTGACCAGATCAATATCCCAGGAGGTTAACTGACTTGATGCTATACTCTGATTAAAAAGCGATCCTTTAATTTTTTTGAGCAGTGCACATTGTACATTGGAGCTGTTTCAAGCAGCACATTATAAAATGTTGTCATTCTTTGCAAAGATAAGAAAATAAGGTTAACACCACCTTTTGGACTCTGTTATATGTTACACCTGCTTCTTTTCTCCTTCGGGCACAGTCACTGTTGGCATTTGCATGGCTGTTCAGGCTTCATTCACTCATAGAGATCAATGAATGAACTACCAGTCCAATCTGCCACCACAGCAGACAGACTTGTAGTTTTCAATGAAACATGAGAGCGGTGATCACCACATTCATAGTCCACTGACATAGTCTAACTGAAAGTCCAGAGTCTGCAGGAGCCCGCGAACCACTGATCACGCTTGCAGTGCTTTGCAGGCTGATTTGCAAAAAAAGTAATAAATGCACAATTTTGTTTTCCTGCAAATAAATGTGCATTGAATATTTTTTGTAAAAAGTGGACTTTAAGGAAATTGGGTTGCAGTTGAAGGAAGAATTCCTTTTCATTTGATCCATTGTTTATAAATGTTTTCCTCTCTTCTGTCCTTAAAATGTGCTAACATGTTTCTGTTCACCTAATTTTCCTTTTTTAATCATTTTTGAATTGGGGTTTAGACAAATTATACCTTCTCACATAAACAGTACCTCCTTGTAACTACAGTTTATGAAACAATGCTTCTTTCCAGTTTACTATTAAAAAAGAAAACATAATGCCCCTTTCCCTCATTTTCTAAAAAAATCCTGTTTCTATGTTATACAGAGATACGTTTACACAGTAATAAGTTAAACGCTTTCAATAAATTACAGCCATTTTAATTATTAATTGCTTTGCAGAGTGTGGCTGGCACAGAGAATTGGCAGAGAGTCAATACCGAGATCCCAGTCAAGTCTCCAAGGTTTGCTCTGTTTGATCTGGCTGAGGGAAAGTCTTACAGCTTCAGAGTGCGATCTTGCAACTCTGCCGGAGTTGGAGAACCCTCAGAGGCTACTGAGGCTACTGTTGTAGGCGACAAACTTGGTAAGTGTTTTTATCACTAGGTTTGAATATGGAATTATTTTGTGCAAGAGCATTATTTTACAATGACAATTTGTCATTCTTGCCTTGTATTAGCAAGAAAGAATAAGTAAACACTTGACCTACAGTCATGGCCAAAAATATTGGCAACCCTGTATTTCTGTCAGATAATGGACCACTTCGCCCAGAAAATTGTTGCAATTACAAATGTTTAGGCATTCTCATGTTTATTTTTTCTGTTGGTGTTGGTATGACACAAAAAGCCAAATCTGACACATTGCATGCAAAACTGCTGTAATGCTCCTGTAATTTGTAATTAAAACTCACCTGTATCAAATTATAGAAATCACACTGGCAACTAGTTTAAGTAGTGAAAATTGACTCAACCTTTTTGTTGTGTGTCTCTGTGTGCCACATGGAGCATGGAGAAGAGAAAGAGCAGCAAAGAATTGTCTGAGGATTTGAGAACAAAGATTGTGGAACATCATGGACAATCTCAAGGTTACAAGTCCATCTCCAGAGGTCTTAGTGGTCATGCGTCCACTGTGCACAACATTGTCAAGAGGTTTAGAGCCCTTAGCACTGTAGCTAATCTCCCTGGACTTGGATGAAAGAGAAAAAATGATAAAGAATGCAATGAAGGATTGTTTGAATGATGGCTAAAAATCAATTTCAAGACAAATTCAAGCTGACCTTCAGGCACAGGGTATAGCTGTGTCAGCTCACAGTATACACCACCATCTGCATGAAAAGAGACGCTATGGTAGGAGACCCAGGAGGACCCCACTGCTGACACAGAAAGAGAAAAAAGCCAGTCTGGTGTTTGTTGAAACCTACCTGAGAAAGCCAAAATTGTTTTGGGAGAATGTGCTGTGGACAGATGAAACATATTTACAGCTTTTTGGTAAAGCCCATCATGCTACTGTTTTCAGAAATAGAAATTAGTTCTTTAACCCTTTCGCTGCCAGAGCCGTTTTTGCATTTCTTGGCACACGTTTAAAAAATTATTTTAGGCCTGAAGATTGCACAAAACCCCCAAACATGATATATTTTCTGAAAGCAGATACCCAAGAGAATAAAATAGTGGTAGTTCCAATTTTTTTATGTCACACGATATTACAGCAAAGGTCTAGACAACGCAAAATTTCAGTAAGAAACACACTAGTGAATTTTAGAGCAAACAAATGCAATAAATTATCCTAATGTTTGGTAAACTATAAAAGACGAGGTTGTGCCAAGTAAATAGATACCCAACATGTCAAGCCTTAAATTTGCGTGCACCTGTGAAATGGCAAAAAACTTCAGTACCCTATATTTTCTATAGGCTACACTTCAAAAGCCCCTACAGGTCATCAATTTAGTTATGGAGGAGACTTTTTGCTAGAATTATTGCTCTCACTCCAGCGTCCATGTTGATATGCAAAAGAAAAGAGCAGATGAATGTGTGATAAAAACAACAATACTTTAATGTAGCACACTTACACCGGAGCAACCTGTGAACAGCTCAATAGATCGAGATGGCGTGCAAATACAGCTCTCTCCTGTGAGGATGGATGGACACCCACTGTGAGACCTCAGACAGGAGTCCACTCCTGGGTGTGGACTGTGATCGGCTGTGAGGCACAGACGGGGATCCGCTCATGGATGGATGCCAGCAGCATGTCTACCCAATACTACCGCCAACAGACACAGGTATGACAGGCACCAATGAGTGACAGATGGGCAGGCCGCAATGTGTTTCAGAGGCTCCGCCTCCTTTATCAAGCTGGTCCGCCCAAGGGGAAGAATGAGAATTTATAGGCCGTGCACCAGGCCAAGGAACCAATAAAAAATGGGACAGTGGGTGGGGCTAACCAAACAACACGAACAGCTGAAAAGGCTGAGGGGGAGGATGGTATGTGCTTGGGTGTAACATTATTTTTTTGCAAAAAAACATTTTTTTTTTACTTAACTTTTTTTTTTCATCCCATAGGAGACCCAAAAGATGATTTTTAGGTGACAGGTTCTCTGTGCTCACCCTGATGTATTGCTATGCAGATCGCATTGCAATACATCTCTTCTTGGCTATTCTAGCCTGGGAAAGTGACAGCGGTGACCCGGAAGCGACGTCATATATGTTGTTTTCTGGCTCACAGCAAGAAAGGAGGAGAGCAGACGTGTGCACTTGCCATTTCTGCCCCTGGCTCACAGATGGGCAAACAGAGCCCGGAATACATGGAGTATTGCATGTGCGGTGGCAGGTGCATTATCGGGGGCTGTGGAAGCAATTGGGCGGCAGCACAGCTGCCCTACTGCTTCCACCTAAGAAGCAGGAGTCTTGCAACAATAGGAATGAAGAAAATAATACAGTCCCTACAGTGGTGGAGGTTCACTGATGTTTTGGGGTTGCTTTGCTGCTTTAGGCACTGGATGTTTTGTGACCGTGTACATGGCATTCTGATATCTGAAGACTACCAAAGAATTCTGGGGTGCAATGTAGGGCCCAGTGTCAGAAAGTTGGGTCTCCGTCAGAGGTCATGGGTCTTACAGCAGGATAGTAAGCTAAAGCACCCAGAAATGGTTTAAGACAAAATGCTGGAGAGTACTGTACTGGCCAGTAATGAGTCCAGATCTCAGTCCCATAGAGCACCTGTGGAGAGATCTCAAAGCAGTTGGGAAAATGAATCCTTCCAATCTGAGAGACCTGGAGCAGATGACGAAAGAAGAGTGGTCCAAAATTCCAGTAGGGAGGTGTAAGAAACTCATTGATGGATAAAGGGAGGGATTGATTTCAGTTATTTTTTCCAAGGGGTGTGCTACTAAATATTAAATTGAGGATGGAAATAATAATTTTGTTGAGTCCATTTTTGCAGTTTTGCGTGGAATGTGTTAGATTTGGCTTTTTGTTTCTCCACTTTTTGTGTCATACCAACACAAACAAAAGAGATAAACATGAGAATGCCTAAACATTTGTAATTGCAACAATTTTCTAGACAACGTGCTGCATTATCTAACAGAAATGCAGGGGTGCCAATATTTTTGTATATGTCTTTTGGATCTTTCACTGATGTATTCATTTTCTAGATATTCCTAAGGCTCCCAGCAATATTGTACCCACAAGAAATACAGACACTTCTGTGGTTGTTACATGGACAGAATCTAAGGATTCCAGAGAGTTGGTGGGATACTACATTGAGGCCAGTATCACAGGATCAGGCATTTGGGAACCATGCAACAACAACCCAGTGAAAGGCACTAGGTAAGATAATACAATATTGTTACTGCTAGACTTTGACTGGTCATATTTGCAGGTCATACCGCTACTCCAAGGATTGAAAACACAATTCAAACAGTGTATGGCATGCAGTACATGTAATTTCAAGCTTAAAGGGGGAGGGGGGCACTGTTCAAGTACACCCCTTCCTATAGTAATGGCACACAATGATTTCACTGTACCTGTACCTCATTGTTTTAGACAGGTAAATATTGTATTCTCGGTTTAGGCAAGCAGGTATAGCTCTCAGCTTCCTTTCACATTTTTGCCTTTCACCTTCTGTGTTGCAAAAATCTTGCTTACAGAGCTCAGATTACAAATTACAAGTTCAAATTTAAATACACAAGTGAGCCATGTCCCATCCTTTATGAGATGGCTCGATCAGATGGGGTCACCCTGAAAGGAAATAACTACTGTTGTGATTTTTTTTCTAGAGAACCCTTAGTGCTTTGGGATTTCTTTGTCATTAAATGTTTATTTTTAAAACAAGGATTGGATATACTGGATATAGTTTACTGGATCAGTTGGGTCAATATCCAATACAGTATTTCATAGGGCAATGGTTAGTGGTGTACATAGCATAGAAATACACTACTCAAAAAATTAAAGGAACACTTTTTAATCAAAGTATAACATTAAGTTAACCTCCTGGGATATTGATCTGGTCAGTTAAGTAGCAGCGGGGGTTGTTATTCAGTTTCAACTGCTTAGGTGTTAAAGAAATTAACAACAGGTGCACTAGATGGGCAACAATAGTTTTACAGGTGGAGGCCACTGATGTTTTTTTTCCCTACTCACCTTTTCTGACTGTTTTTCAGTAGTTTTGCATTTGGCTAGAGTCAGTGTCACTACTCGTAGCTTGAAGGGATACCTGGACCCTACAGACTTTGCACAGGCAGTCCAACTCCTCCAGGATGGCACATCAATATGTGCCATTGCCAGAAGGTTTGCTGTGTCTCCCAGCACAGTCTCAAGAGCATGGAGGAGATTCCAGGAGACAGGCAGTTACTCTAGGAGAGCTGGACAGGGCTGTAGAAGGTCCTTAACCCATCAGCAGGACCAGTATCTGCTCCTTTGTGCAAGAGGAACAGGATGAGCACTGCCAGAGCCCTAAAAATTACCTCCATCAGGCCACTGGTGCGAATGTCTCTCACGAAACAATCAGAAACAGACTTCATGAGGGTGGCCTGAGGGCCCGACGTCCTATAGTGGGCCTTGTGCTCACTGCCCGGCACCATAGAGCTTGATTGGTATTGAACACCAGAATTGGCAGGTCCGCCATTGGCACCCTGTGATTTTCACAGATGAGAGCAGGTTCACCCTGAGCACATGCGACAGATGTGAAAGGGTCTGGAGAAGCCGTGGAGAAGGTTATGCTGCCTGTAACATCGTTCAGCATGACCGTTTTGATGGTGGGTCAGTGATGGTCTGGGGAGGCATATCCATGGAGGGACACACAGACCTCTACAGGTTAGACTATGGCACCCTGACTGCCATTAGGTATCGGGATTAAATCCTTGGACCCATTGTCAGACCCTGCGTAGGTGCAGTGGGTCCTGGGTTCCTCCTGGTGCACGAAAATGCCCAGCCTCACTTGGCGAGAGTACGCAGGTAGTTCCTGGAGGATGAAGGAATTTATACCATTGAATGGCCCCCACGCTCACCTGACTTAAATACAATAGAACACCTCTGGGATATCATGTTTCGGTCCATCTGACATTGCCAATTTGCACCTCAGACTGCCCAGGAGCTTAGTGATGCCCTGGTCAAGATCTGGGAGGAAATACCGCAGGACACCATCCGTCGTCTCATTAGGAGCATGCTCGAATGTTGTCAGGCATGCATACAAGCATGTGGGGGCCATACAAACTACTGAGTACCATTTTGAGTTGCTGCAATGACATTTCAGCAAAATGGACTAGCCTGCCCAGCATGATATTTTTCCCCATTGAGATATGATGTGTTTTCAAAGTGTTCCTTTATTTTTTTTTAAGCAGTGCAAATGCTTAATATGCTGTACTCTCTCAAATAATGAAAGACAATAATCAGAATAATTTGTAATCAGCTTTCACACCTTATTGTTCACTTGCACTATTTTGTGACATGAGGGCACTGTGTTTACCTAACCACCTCCTGTCCGGCTGTTGTATATAAACGGCCAGACTGTGGCAGTGCAGGGTCGGGTGGCCGTTTATAAACGGCCTCCCTGCCCCCTGGTTGTGCGCGCTCCCTGGGAGCGCGCAGCACAGTGATCCGGTGCCTTCTGTGTCCTCCGGACATAGTGGAACACCGATCCTCTCTGCAAGGTCCCGATCATGTGATCACTAATTGGCCAATCAGTGATCACATGCAGAGTAGTAAGCAAGATGTCACTTCTGACATCATTGCTTACTACGTGTGAAATCTGTGAATGATCACAGAGGTCACATGGATGGTACAAGGCTATTCACAACAGCCTTGTACCATGTGACCAATCACAGCTCACACAGTAGTTCTCAATGGCTGCAAGAATGCAGCCAGAGAGAAGGAGAAATGATTGCTTTTACAGCCTTTATGGGTGTAAAAAAAAAAAACCCACAAGTAGTACAGTGTCACCATGGTGACACTGCACTGCTAAGGTGACAGTATGTAAAAAAAAAAAAACCCATAAATAATAATAACAAAACAAAAATGTAAAAAATAAATATTTAAAAATTCTAATTTTTGGTTATAAACTAATTTGGGTTGTTTTTTTTTACTAAAAAGATAACGGAATAAATTTTGGCGAAGATTTATGATGAAATATTATTTATTGAAAAATTTTATAAGAAAAACACAAAGAGGGTTAGGAACCTAGTTCCACCATCACATGATGTGTTCCACTGTGGAATGCAAAGCGATCACCTAGAATGCAGGGGTAAAAATCCTGAGGGGTAAGTGACTCACAATCGTTCTCCAACTATATAGTGTATAATTAAAGAAACACCAGCTTATATGGCAAATGTCACCATGGTATTGGAATTGTGGGCTCCCCATTACAGCCCTCTCTCTAATGCATGCACGATCTCATACAGATGGATACAGTTTCTTTAATTATACGCTATAGCTGGAGAACAATTGTGAGTCACCTGGGATCTTTACTCCCGCATTCTAGTCCTGTAATATAAGAAGTATTATTCTGCCCCCTTCAATGGCCCATTTTCTCCTACCTTAGGATCACTCCAGCACTGCAGCCTTTGTCAGTTTATTTAGCAGTCACCACTTTCGGGATTGTTGGACGCCTGTGTTCCCCACACTGTGGGTTCTGTCCTACATCTCCTACATCATTACAGGACTCAGCAGTGACATAGGGGGCAGAGGAAGAAACTACAGGGCACAGCAGGGGGACATAGGCACCCAACACTACTGGAAGTGTTGAATGCTGAGGACACTGATGGAGACTGCAGCACTGAAATGGAGGAAAGGTAGGACATGCAGAGATGTGAATAACAAACCGTTATATTGCTGGACACTTGTATCTTTAATTTTTTATAACCTGACATAATCACTTTAATATGTGTGTAATTAAAAAGAAATACAAAAACATTTATTTTCCCCCCAGCCCGCGCCCCCCACCCTCTCCATCACAACCAACAACGCCACCATCAGTCCCACCCCGCAAGCCAAAGTCCTAGGTGTCACTCTAGACTCCAATCTGTTCTTCCAACCCCATGTCCAATCGCTGGCAAACTCATGCAGGCTCCACTTCCGCAACATCTCCAAAATACGTACGTTCCTAACCCCAGACACTACTAAACAACTCATTCACTCCCTTATTATCTCACGACTCGACTACTGCAACTCCCCCCTCACCGGTTTACCTCATCACAGACTCTCCCCGCTTCAGTATATCCTGAACTCAGCGGCCAGACTCATCCACCTTACCAACCGCTCCGCATCTGCCACCCCCCTCTGTCATTTCCTCCATTGGCTTCCGATTGCCCAACGCATTAAATTCAAACTACTAACATTGACGTACAAAGCCATTCATAATGCTGCCCCAAACTACCTCACTGACCTGGTACTCAAATACCACCCAACCCCTACTCTTCGCTCCTTACAAGATCTCCTACTTTCTAGCTCCCTGGTCTCCTCCTCCCACGCCCGACTGCAGGACTTCTCCACGGCTTCCCCCATCCTCTGAAACTCACTACCCCAATCCATCAGACTGTCACCTACCCTCCTCACCTTTAAGCGCACCCTGAAAACCCATCTCTTCAGGGAAGCCTACCCCGCCCTCACCTAACAGCCGATCTCCTCCACTCCTCCTACCACTCCATCCCCCACAGCCACTTCCTCCTGTACCACTATCCCCTCCCTCCTAGATTGTAAGCTCGAAAAAGCAGGGCCCTCAAACCTCTCGTATATTGTTTTGTTACTGTATTGTCTCATGTACTGTCCCTCACTATATTGTACAGCGCTGAGCAAAACTTTTTGGCGCTATATAAACACTGTATAATAATAATAATTAAAATTTTTAGTTTTTACATTAACAACACAACAAATTCCCTGTAATGCTATATATAATTGTATGATTAAAATGAGCATGTTATTTGTTATTATGCACAGATTTATTTGCCATGGCCTTTCTCACTGGTGAAAATTACATTTTACGTGTCCGGGCTGTGAATGCAGCAGGACTCAGTGACTACTCCTCTGATTCTGAGGCAATAGAAGTCAAAGCTGCCATTGGTAAGTCACTTCATGACAATTATTTCCTAAAGTGTTTTTCATCTCTTAAGTTTCTATTTACTTTTCTCATTACAATAATTATTTTTTTAATGAATCATTGCTACACTGCTATTGCTTTGCAGTATTACCAACATCACCATTTCAGATACTGATTTCCCACCTGTTATTTTATAATCCTCCATCACAATCCAGTCATTGTTAATCTTTGATGTTACCTCTGTACACATTCCACCACCTTTCCTTGTATTCTACATTACCCACAATGGCAGGACACCATCTCTTCATCTTATGGTATCCATGTTGATGGTAATCCAGGCTTATGGTTCCGTTTTTACACTGCTAACCATCTTGTATTTCTACTTATCCATAATCTTCTCTGTAAGCAGAAGGACGTAGTTGCATGCTCTTAACATTTCTTACTATAGTGCATGAGACAGATCCATATGAACATGTTTGTTATCATGTTCATTTCTTTCTTTGTATTATGTGCTGCATTGAAAACGTATATAAAAAGAACATACGGTACACTGTATCTTCAGTGAACGCACATTTATAACTTTTCCAATTATTAAATGCCTATTTTAATAGGTTAAAAATTATTGTATTCTGATAGCACCCCCACCTTCTCTTCTCCATAACATAGCAGGAGGTATTCTGTAATCTATAGAGAGAACTGGGTATAGAAGTAGTTGCTAACAGTCAGCGGAGGCAGAGGGCCCAGAAAGTTATCAACTCACCAGTGTTATGTCAGGATCAGGTATCAATATGAATCACAATATCAATCACATTTACATTTATATTATATTATGTTTTGTTGTAGCCCTGATGAAGGGGAAGTTTTTATGGCCCCTAAAGCATGTTGGCTGTTTTTTTAATGTAAACCAATAAATTAATTTTGGACTCATTTATCTCTTGGTTTGACGCTTCTTCCATTGGTGCATTTTTTTTTTTCTGGTAACATGCTGTTCACCAAAAGGAGGGCAGCCCTGTCTGTTATGAGCAGCCTAGCCTAAGTCAGTGAGCTCCTTGAATGTTTTTGTCCTCTCACTACTTTGTATGAACACATATTAAAGTCCCATCACCTCTTGGATGCTATTTTCTTCCCCAGGTCTTCATTGGCTTTATTACTAAAGGCTACACACTTTCTCCATTGTCCATGTCAAATTAGAATGTCTTAGAAGCTAATAGGTTCTTTGTCATTGGATAATGAAATGGAGGGGGGGGAGGGTAGGTAGACTGGGCTTTCTTCCAAAATCAGGGAAGTTGAGCCTTCAGTAACAATGTAGACCAGGATCAGGGGCACACAAACATTAGGCTTTTTGACCATCATAGTCAATAGCACCCTATGCTACCTACTCTTGAACATAACTTTAAAATGTTGGAAAGGTTCACTTTAAAACAATCCTTTGCATTGTCCACGCACACAATCTCCTTTCCTTCATTCCTGTTTGCTCCATTCAGCTTCTGGGAGCAAAGAAAATACCTGATACTTCCTGCCATGGATAATCTTGTGGCTCACTCTGTGTGATAAATCTCAGCTAATCACCAAGAGCCAGCAATGTTACATAGGAAGAATCCATAACCCTGTGTAAGCTGCAATGTGAGTGACTTGTAGCTCACATAGGATGGTTTTTCATGCTTTCAGCATTTGATTAGAGTAACAGTTGCAGCAGTTGTAGCTGTTCCAGGGGGGCAAAGTTGCCAGTCAAAGGATAGTTGCCTGTGCAGGTACAAAATGTAGAGATGTTTGTCCCCTACACTTGGTCATGTGTTCTGTGATCTCTTCCTGTATTCTAAACCAAGCTAGGTAACTTTCCTGTGTAGCTCTGTAAGACCATTTGCCTGCTAAAATGTGCTTGCCATGATGTGCTAATTAATGCTTAGGGGTAGTCAGAAACGTGGGATTAGGGCCACTACATGGGAACCCTGTCTAATATTTTCACTGGAGCCAACCTCCATATAACTAGCTTTGTCACTGAACCCTGGCCAAATGCCTTATAGCAGTGCAGATTCCACAGTAGTAATGACAAGCATGTAGAGCATGCTTAGATTGATCATGTGTAATACAGTCTTTAAGTGAAATCCTACCATCTCTTATCTCTTTATTGCCACATGTGCTAATTTTGTCCCTTATGTGTCCATGCAGGGATAGGGATAGTTAGTATTTACTAGGTAGGCTGGGAGATATAGTGAATGTAATGCAGATATAGCTTGGGTAAATAGCATAATTGCCCTAAATATATTCAATATTTTTTGGAATTTGTACATGTACTTTACAGTTTAATAACTGGTGATAGAAAGGTGTATGCAAATTTAATGCAGCACGAATACAAGGCCATAATGATCACTCATAGTGCTAGTAAATTAATTTTCAGCCTGTGCTATTCTGATAAGAACGTTCTTCTAATAATGCCTGCATTCATGTGATCCTTCCATAACTTCAACATATTTCTCTTCTTTGCTGTCAGCGAAATATGTGCATGTTTAATTGTGTTGTTTATTGGTTTGTTCTAGACACTGCGCAAATGGAGGAACTTTTAACACAATTACTCATGCCTCCATTGCTCACTGTCTCTATTATGAACAATTGAAAGTACAATAAAATTAACAATTTCTTTGTTATCTTCTGGATGCTGTAGGGGGAGGATTGCCACATGGTGCGTGCCCTGATCTGAGTGCTATTGCTGATGGACTAACAGACTCCCCTGCATGCCGGGTAGTCAGGCATGAGTCCACACAGCATTCCCCCACCACAGCTGCATTGCCAGATTGTAGCGCTAAACCCCAAAACACCTCAGCCAGTACATGTGATATACCTGGACCTTCAGGAGTAAGTAATATAAGTGCCAGTAGTGAGTCCTTGGCTCCCACACAATCATCACAAAATGGAGAACCAGAGCAGCAAAGTAAGTGTGACAACAAGAACTTATGAAAACTGACTGCGTGTACCATGAGCAGCCAGTCATTAGCAGTGCAGGAAACAACTGCTTATCATTCTTCCTCCATCTGATGTCATCCATCACTCTAATTGTAACAGAAATAAACTCACGAGTCTACTGGCACCATCTAAGCATGAAATAAATTCATGAAGGATGTAACAAAAATGTAAAAAATAATGGAAATAAATGTAATCATAAACAGCAATCTGAGCAATAATTATTCAGCAAAAATGTATTAACACTTTTGAGACGTAACCCTTAGTTTTAATAATAGGGTTTTATGCTAGTCCGAACCAACAAGGCTAACAACACTAGTATGGGATGTCACTAACAAAAGATAGCTTTTGCAGCATGAACACTGAAGGTTAGAACAGAGTTGACCTGTACACTGGGCCTTTACTGGTATTCCAATGGCGTCACAATTAAATGTGTTTTTTTTAATTGCTTAGTTTCCCTATACCTTACCTTATACAGAAATGTGGATATTTTGTACATCAGAAATCATTGCTATAGATGCCTTCCTATGCTAAGGTCCTAGGTTGATATCCTAAAAGGGACACTGGCATAATGTTCTCCAGTATGTTTTTGTGGATAGCTTCCACTTAAAGTTGTACTAATGTGTATCTCTGAATGACAGCAATAGATATGTTAATTCTCTAGGGCAGGAACTCATGGATATGGTTGTATGCATTCTGTAAAGCACAGCAGAGTCTGCCAGTATATATATATAAATAAATACAGAAAACGTGAATGCCAGAAGTCACCTTAATAGATGGAACTGGCAATGGAATTGCTTCAGCATGGGAATGTAAAATAGTGGGCTAGTTCAGATTTTTTTTAGCTTATTCACGCTTGTGCATTGTCTTGAACGTCTGAAAAGTACATTTTGTAATTTCAAGTTCAACAATTTCAACTTTTGTTCTCTTACTTGGACAGTGGTCTCAGCTCTTTATCCTGTCCTTGGTTTTATGGGGCCATTTTATTAAATGTCTCTACCAAAGGTAATTATAAGTAACATTTTGGGAATCATAAATCCTTTTTTAGGCCTCCTTCTACCTTCTAGTAAATTTACATGGGTGCTGGACCTGCATGTTGTACCTTTTCTTAAATGTATAACTTATTTGCTTTGCTTTTTTTGACTGAAGAAAATGGCAGTAGCCCTGGAAAGAAAACTAAGGTTTAAACAACTGGAACATAAATTCTTTTTATTTTATAAGATATGGGCTATAAGACTGAACTTCTCAATACTACACTCCTGCTACAGTAGAATATTCCCCAATTCTGCTTCCTGGCATGGTGCTTTGTTCCAGTGGAGGACAGTGCTGCTAATATACAGTATTTTAAAAAATATATCCTCTAACCTTATCATCCAAATCCTGATAGTTGTAAGCAATGAGAGGAAGATGTGAGCATTTTATGCAGCATTGTGGACCATGGAAGGGCTCACTTGAAGGTTACAGTGTGACCAGAAGCTGAAAAAAATGTTTACCTTGCATCCAGATTTTAGCAGAGCTGGAGACAAGATTGTGGCATTTCCATTATCTTGCTCTTAGTAAGATGTAATCCATCCAGGAACAGCTCAGAAAAGTAGGCATACAGTACAGTATTAAGAGAGAATTGAGAGCAAATTTGTTTATTTTCAACCAATGCACTGCATGCTGCTTTACAGAGTATATTTTTACCATTGATATAATTCTCTGTCTCCAGTGGATATTACAATCTATGACCCTACCCTAACGTTACAATCTATGAACCATTGTAGGCAGAAGCTAATTAACTAGTGAACGTGAGAATCTAGAAAGTCTTGAATTGTTGTCCTCGGTGCTGCAAGGTCACAGTACAGTGGTTCACGTTTAATACATAGAAAATATCAAGACTGTTCATCTACCTATAGCATATACCTGTAGGTTAGATTCCACAAGTCAGAAGTCATTTTCAGTTTAAAGCATTGAAAATCATCTATGGCTGTTATAGACTACTGCATTTCAGCACATTGCTCTCTGACTTACAAAGGAAAACCACATCCTCCAAAGATAATTTTAACATACTTCACATAAATTT